GAAATATTTTGTTTAATTTCCTAGTGTTTGGAGTATTTCTTGCTGTTTCTTATTGATTTCAAATTTGTTTCAAGTTTGATCTGTTTATATTTGACTTTTTTTTTTTTTTAAGACCCAGGATATGGTCTATCTTGTTCTCTATGACTTCTTGAAAAGAATGTGTGTTCTGCTGTCATTAGATAGAGTTTCTCTAAATGTCCTTCTGGTTGCTGGTGTTATTCAGACAGGGATATTGAAGTCCAGAATTATAATTGTAGAATTATCTGTTCATCCTTTAAGTTCTGTCAGTTTTTGATTCATATAATTCAGAGCTCTGTTGTTTGGTACATACGTATGTTGGTTTACTAAGTCTTCTTGGTGTATGTTGACCTTTACTTCATTATGTAATATTCTTTTTTGCCTCTGTTAATACTTTCTGTCTTGTCATTTTTTGGCAGCTGACTGATATAGGGATCTGAATCCTTGATCTTGGTGTCACCAGCACCATACACTCCCAAGTGAGCTAACAGCCATCCCCCTCTCTTAATACTCCTGGCTCAAAGTGTACTTTGTCTGATATTCATGTCATCACTCCTGCTTTTTGGGGGTGGGGAGGAGGGGTTAACATTTGCATGATTTCTATTTTGCTAACATTGTATTTTCACCCTTTTCTATATCTTTACATTTGAAGTAAGTTTCTCATGAATAGCATATACTCGGGTCATGATTTTATATTCATTGTGCATATTTCTGTCTTTTAATTGGTATATTTAGACCATTTACATTTAAAATAATTATTGAGGGCCAGCCCATGGCTCACTTGGGAGAGTGTAGTGCTGACAACACCAAGTCGGATCCCCTTACCAGTCATCTTTTAAAAATAAAATTAAAATATAAAATAAAATAATTATTGATATATTAGCACTTAGATTTGCTATTTTATTATTTGATTTTTGTTTTTATTCCTGTTTATTGTTCCTCTCTTTGTTGTCATTTTGGGGTTTTTTCCTTGCCTTTCTGTGGGTTAAACTTTTCTTTGAATTCCATTTGATACATTTGTAGTTTTTTTTAGTATATCTATTTGTATTTTTGTGTGTGTGTGGTTCTAGGTATTCTAATGTACATGCATTACTTATCACAGTTTAATAGTATCAACAATTTAGCACTTTGATGTATTGAAACTTTCAGTAGGTCCCTTTACATTACCAATTAATACAATTGTCTTAAGTATTTCCTCTTTATACACTGAGCACCATGTTGGAAGATGTAATTTTTACTTCGTCAAACATATTTTACAAAAGTCATGAGAATCATTGTCTGTTTACCTCTACTTTTGTCCATTCCATTGTCCTTTCTTCTGTCTTGAAATCTCAAGCCACCTTCTGTTAACATTTTTCTGTTTGATTAACTTCCTGTAGCTTTTCTTCTAGTAT